TGCCTTGGCTTCCTGGCTGACCTGGGCCATTGGGATGCCATAGTTTCCCCAGACTGTATTAGGATACTTTCAAAGACCCTTCCAGCCTGGATTTCTGTGATTGGGCTCAGTGGCCTCTGGGTCCCTCCTCTCTCTTTTTACACTTCCAGTCATGGAGCCAGTCCAAAGGAAGGCTTTCTGTGTCCAGGAGCCTTTGGGGCACCAGACATGTAGAGGGGAGAGGCAGCACTGGGTGAATACATTGAGAATGTGTGTGTGTGTGTGTGTTGGTCCTGGGGGTTGAACTCAGGGCCTGAGCTTTTGTGCTCAAGGCTAGCTCTCTATTACTTGAGCCACATCTCCACATTAGCTTTTTACTTTGTCATTTGTAAGGCTTGAACTCAGGGCTTGGGCACTGTCCCTGAGCTCTTTTGTATAAGGCTAGTGCTCTACTACTTTGAGCCACAGGTCCACTTCTGGTTTTCTGGTGGGTACTTGGAGATAAGAGTCTCACAGACAGCCTCTCCTTAGTTTTGAACTGTGATCCTCAGATCTCAGCTTCCTGAGTAGCTCCACTTCCAGCTTTTTTTTTTTTCATTTTTTTCTTTTTTTGTCGGTCATGGGGCTTGAACTCTGGGCTTGGACGCTGTCCCTCAGCTCTTCAGCTCAAGGTGAACGCTCTACTGCTTGAGCTACAACACCACTTCCAGTTTTCTAGTGCTTTATTGGAGATAAGAGTCTCACAAGCTTTCCTGCCCGGGCTGGCTTTGAACCGTGATCCTCAGATCCTAGCCTCCTGAATAGCTAGGATTACAGGGATGAGCCACCGGTGCCTGGCTACTTCTAGCTTTTTTGGTAGTTTATTGGAGAAAGGAATCTCATGTAGCCAGGCACCGGTAGCTCAGGCCTGTAATCCTAGCTATTCAAGAGGCTGAGATCTGATGATCACAGTTCAAAGCCAGCCCAGGCAGGAACGTCCGAGAGACTCTAATCTCCAATTACCCACCAGAAAATCAGAAGTGGCAGTGTGGCTCAAGTGGTAGAGTGCTCACCTTTAGCTGAAGAGCTCAGGGATAACACCCAGGCCCAGAGTTCAAGCCCCATGACTGGCAGAAAATAAAGATAAAAAAAGAGAGTCTCATGTACTTTCCTGCCAGGGCTGGCTCCTGTGATCCTTAGATCTCAGCTTCCTGAGTAGCTGGGATTACAGGCGTGAGCTACCAGTGACCAGCTCCACTTCCAGCGTTTCTGGTAGTTTATTGGAGATAAGAGTCTCATGTACTTTCTTGCCAGGGCTGGCTTTGGACCTCAATCCTCAGATCTCTACCTCTTGAGTAGCTAGAATTACAGGCATGAGCCATCAACACCTGGCTCTGAAATTGTTTATTTATAGGCTGCTTGTGAGAGGTAGGCAGAGATTTAGGACCACAGGTATCTGTTGTGTGAGATTTGAACCCACTGAAGCGGGAGGCCCAGCCTAGTTCCATTTGTGAGTCTCCTGCCGAAGTATAGCTGTGTGCTCAGGTTCTGCTCTAGGTGACAAGATGGCCACAGCAGATGAGAGCCATCTGGGAGCCGAGAGGAGAGCCACACTAGTCACAGGCGAGATCAATGGAAATCAGAATTGCTGGGCTGCACTTGCAATTGCCTTGGTAAAGAGGAAGGGAAAGGGGAGGGCCTGGGGGCATGCTGGGGGCCATGAAGGACAAGGGGGTCCCTGGTCCTATGGACTCTGGCTGCATTGGGGGAGGCAGAAACATTGCTGATAAAAACCAAGGCTGGCTGGGAATGTGGCTTAGTGGTAGGTAGAGTGCTTGCCTAGCATGCATGAAGCCCTGAGTTCAATTCCTCCATACAGCATACACAGAAAAAGCCAGAAGTGGCACTGTGGCTCAGGTGGTAGAGTACTAGCCTTGAGCAAAAGAAGCTTAGGAACAAGTGCTCAGACCCTGAGTTCTAGCCCCAGGACTAGCAAACAAACCAAAACCAAAACCAATACCAAGGCTGCTGCACCTTGCAGGTGTCTGCTCTGCCCCCTACCATGTCCTCTTTTTTTTTTTTTGTCGGTCGTGGGGCTTGAACTCTGGGCCTGGGCACTGTCCCTCAGCTCTTCAGCTCAAGGCGAGCGCTCTACCACTTGAGCTACAGGGCCACTTCCGGTTTTCTGGTGGTTTGTTGGAGATAGGAGTCTCACAGTCTCTCCTGCCCGGGCTGGCTTTGAACCTCGAACCTCAGATCTCAGCCTCCTGAGTAGCTAGGATTACAGGCGTGAGCCACCAGCGCCCGGCCCATGTCCTCTTTACTTCCCCTTCCCTACTGTTGTCCTTTCCTGTTACATCCCAGCCTTCTCCGGCCAATCATCACAACTCGGTGTGGAAGCCACTGTTGGCAAGTGAACCAAGCAGCCATGGGGCAAGAAAGTGCTTAAATGGCTGTAGAGGTGCAGGGAATTCCCTGCCTGCAGGCTGCTGCAAAGGGTTAGGTAACATTTAATCTGAAACCTGAACTGCCCCTAGGAAATGCCCCACACCAGGAGGTAGGCGGTGAGCATGCAGGGCAGAGGAAACAGGCTGCCAGCGAGCTCAGAGGTGGGAGACAGTAAGAGGAGAGTGGGTGGGGCAGAAGGCTGGGAGCAGTTCAAGTCATAGTCCAGTTAGATGGGAAACTGGGAGGGACGTGCGTGTGTGTGTGTGTGTGTGTGTGTGTGTGTGTGCAGGGCTCACACACTCTCTGTGACCTCTGCCCTCCCAGTTTCGGTGTCTGGTCTCTGGGCTCTACTCAGTCTTCTTGATGAGAGAATAATTAACCACAGACACATTTTCCAAGGCTTCCAAATCATTCTCCAGGTCAAGAGAAAAATACAAGCAAAACAGGATGGCTGCAGGGAGGAGCAGGTTCATGCTGGGGGAAGCAGCAGGAGGCAGAGCACTCAGGGGCTGGAGAGAGGCCAAGGCTGGGTGCTTTGCTGTGGGAATGTGGGTAGTCTTTGCCCCCTCTGGGCCTGGTAGATTAATTTTGTTATTGTTGTTGTTATTATTATTTTGTACCAGCACTGGGACTTGGACTTAGGGCCTAGGCATTGTTCTTTATCTCTTTTACTGAAGGCTGGTGCTCTGCCACTTGAGCCACAGCTCTACTTCTGGCTTTTTGCTGGTTAACTGGAGAAAAGAGTCTCTCAGATCTGTCTGCCCCTGCTGGCTTCAAACTATGACCCTTAGATCTCAGCCTTCTGAGTAACTAGGAATCCAGGCCTGAGCCATTGGCACCTGGGTTAATGAATGGGTTTGCACTAGATTTCAGTTCAGAATGTTGCCTCTGTGAGCAAACAGGCAAAAGCCCAAACAAAAATAAGCCAGCAAGGAATACAACAGCCAAAGAATCTGCAGTTCATTAAAGTTGGGGAAAGACAAACCAGTTGCTTCACTGCAGGGCTAGTCTGTGACTTTATCGGATGAACACTTTTTGTTATCTGAGTGAGTTACACCTTAACGGTGGAATCTAATTCACAAGGTATGCACGGGGTTTGGGGACTCCCAGCCCTCCCTGCTCCCCCCTCCTCCCACAGTCCGTTCCCAGTATCTGGAGAGATGCTATCTAGAAAATGTGACTGCAGACTCAGCCCTCATCCTGCTCAGGTCCCGGAGGCCTGGAGTGCTGCAGCTCTCCAACTTGTTTGCAGCTCACCACAGACCCTTCCTCAAACATGCCTGGTAGACATCTGGGGCATCCTAGAAATAAGAGGCCCCTGGTCCCCACATTGCAGTGTTCCCATATGTTAAGGGACATACAGGGAGGTAGCGGTGGTAGCTTACAAGTGCTGACTCTCTTATTTTCCCAAGAGACCCATGACTACTGCCTTTTGCTGCCTGTCCAGGGATTGTCCTGAGCTGGAGAGAAGGTGACAGCGGTGGCAGCCCATTTGGGGAAATGGAGGCTGTGAAGGCAGCACTTGAATATGTGTCTGGCAGGTAAAAGACCCAGCTGGGCCCAGAAACCCCTGTTCCCAGACAGGGCTGCCCATGTGGAGATGGGGCCAGCAGCTGGCCAGGCCTTGGAGACATGTGGAGGAGAGGGGCTGGGAATTCAGAATTCTCCAGCTCTGGGATGGGAAGGTGGCTTCATGGTAGAGCGCTTGCCTAGCAGGCATGAAGCCCTGGGTTCGATTCCTCAGTACCACATACACAGAAAAAGCCAGAAGTGGGGCTGCGGGTCAAGTGGTAGAGTGCTAGCCTTGAGCAAAAGAAGCTCAGGGACAGTGCCCAGGTCCTGAGTTCAAACCCCAGGACTGGTGGGGGGGGGAGTGGGAGGAGAATCGTCCGGTTCTGGGAGATGGTGAAGGGGGGGGCTGATGTGGTGTAGGTGGGGTGGAGCCCCGAGTCCCTGCTCATGTGGGCGTGCCCGCGTGCGCTTGTGCGCACAGGTGTGTGCCTGTATGTGCGTATGCACGTGTGCACATGTGCGTGCATGCATGTGCATGAGCTCGCCATGGGGGGGGCGGGCCGGGAGAGTGCGCACTTCGGAGCGGCAGTGCTGGGCGTGGCGGGGAGCGTGGCCAGGTGTGCGGGCGGTGCCCGGAGAGCCGCGTGTCCGTCCCGCCCCCCGGGGGGCCGGGCAGGTGTGGGTGGCTCGGGACCCGGGCGCCAGGACCGGAGCCAGCGGGAAACAGGAAGCGGGGTGGGAGGGGGGCGCGGGCCGGACGGCGGGCGCGGCGGGCCGGACGGCTGGCGGGAGCTCCGCGGCGCGGCCCGGCGGGCGGGCGGCGATGTGGGTCGGCCCGGACGGCGGCGGGGCCGGGGGCGGAGCCGGGGCCGCGGGCGCCGCCCCCCTGCGCCGGCGGAGCCGCCGCCCGAGCGCGGAGCGGGGAGCCCGGGGCGGCCGCGGCGCGCGGGGTGAGCCGGGGCGCGGGGTCCCCGCGGCGGGCGCGGGGAGGGCGATCTCGGGGCGGGGGAGTCCCGGGGTCCCGCGCCGGCGCGCCCCCCTCCCCGCCCGGGACGCCCCGCCAACGCCGCCGCGCCGTGCGCCCCTCTCCGCAGACCCCGAGGACGCGGCCATGCCGGGCGGAGCGGAGGCGGGCGAGGCGGAGGCCGAGGCCGGGCCCGGGCCGGGGTCGGGGTCCGAGGCCGAGGAGGACGCGCTGTGGGAGCGGATCGAGGGCGTCCGGCACCGGCTGACGCGCGCCCTGAACCCCGCCAAGCTCACGCCGTACCTGCGCCAGTGCCGGGTCATCGACGAGCAGGACGAGGAGGAGGTGCTGAGCACAGTCCGCCTCCCGTGCCGCGCCAACCGCACGGGTGAGCCGGGCCGGCCGCGCCCCGGGGCCCCCTGCCTGCCCGGGGCCCCCTTCCCCGCGGCCCCGGGTCGGCCATCGGGTCGCCGATCGCCGCGCCCTGCAGCGCGAGGCCGGCGCGCGATGGCAGCCCCGGCCTCAGTCTCCCCGAGGGGGAGTGCACTGTTTGGGGGCGTCCCCCCCTCGTCCTTCTGAGCCCCCTCTGTCCTTCGGGCCGAGCCCACACCGGCGACGGGGTTTTGTCTGTCTTGGGGGTTCCTCTCCACTTCCGGGACCCACTTTCGAGCCGAGGGGTGGATGTGGTTTCTGGGTTTCTGGGCGAGCCCTGACCCTGGGGTCACAGCTGCTGGCTTTGGCGACTTTCCGGTGCACTTTTGCCCTTTGCCCTCCTGAGTTCCCTCTGTCCCCCCCCCCCCCCCCCCCCGTGGGCCATGCTCCCTGGGAGTCGTTTTCCTGCAAGGGTCCGAGTCCCATCCCAGCCTGCAAGCATCCCCTGCTCCGCGGGTAAAACCCCACCCCGAGCTGGCTGAGGAATGAGGGCCTCGTAGGCTGGGCTTGGCTGGCCTGTGTCTGCATCTGTGGGGTGGGGCGCTGCAGCGCAGGTGCGTGGGGAGGGGGCGTCTGCTCGTCTGTCTGGGAGATGTGCTGAGACAGGCCCCTGTCTGTGTCACAGCTCAAAAATCTGGAGAACGTGGGCCCTGGAGCGTGGAGGGGGAGACACAGCTGTCCCGGGGCAAGCCCTTGGGTGACCTCTGCATGCACCCCCCTCTCCAGGGCGACTGATGGACATCTTGCGCTGCCGAGGCAAGAGGGGCTATGAGGCCTTCCTGGAGTCCCTGGAGTTCTACTACCCAGAGCATTTCACGCTGCTCACGGGCCAAGAACCAGCCCAGCGCTGCTCCATGATTCTGGGTGAGTACATCAGCAGTCACGCCAGGGCCTTGGCCACATGTGCAGAGGCCCCCTACCCTGTGTCTGCCAGGGAGGCATGCCCGCTATTTCTGTTGAGCAAATAGGGAAACTGAGGCAAAACTGAAATGGCTTGCCCGGCGCCCCACTTTTAGGGCTCAGGTTCAGAGCCTGCATGACAGCAGGGCCCCTTCTCCTTGGTATTGTTTTCAATACCATATGGTAGCAATTCAACGGCATATAGTTTCTTTTTACTTTTGGTGGGTCATGGGGTTTGAACTCTGGGCTTGGGCGCTGTCCCTCAGTCTTCAGCTCAAGGCTAGCGCTCTACCACTTGAGCCACAGTGCCACTTCTGATTTTCTGGTGGTTTATTGGAGATAAGAGTCTCACAGACTTTCCTGCTCGGGCTGGCTTTGAACTGTGATCCTCAGATCTCAGCCGCCTGAGTAGCTAGGATTATAGGCATGAGCCACAGGGGCCCTGCTATTTATAGTTTCTTTTTTGTTTTTGTTTTGGTCAGTCCTGGGGCTTGAACTCAGGGCCTGGGCACTGTCCCTGAGCTTCTTTTGCTCAAGGCTAGCACTCTGCCACTGGAGCCCACAGCACCATTTCCACCGGCTTTTTCTATTTATGTAATACTGAAGAATTGAACCCAGGGCTTCATGCATGCTAGGCAAGCACTCTACCACTAAGCCACATTCCCAACCCTTATTATAGGTTCTCAAATTAACAAAAAATTACATCTGGATGTGGTAGTACATACCTGTTATCCCAGCACTGGGGAGACAGAGACAGAAGAAATCACAAGTCTGAGGCCAGCCTGGGCTACATAGCAAGACACTGACTCAAAAACCCTGAAAAGTAAAGTTCAAAGGCTTCAGGTGAGTTTAGATTCACAAGGAAAGGTGGTCTCCCGCTGGTGCCTCACACCTGTAGGCTCAGATCGGAGGATTAAGATTCAAAGCCAGCCCAGGCAGGGAAGTCTGTGAGACTCTTAATTCTAGTTAACCACCCAAAAGCCAGAAGTAGAGCTGTGGCTGAAGTGGTAGGTGCCAGCTTTGAGTGAAAAAGCAAAGGCCCCGAGTTCCCGAGTTCATGCCCCAGTTCCAGTACCTCCCAAAGAAAACCTCATTACAGAAGGCAGCATTTCCTCCTCCTTTGGCTCTGTTCTCTGGTGCAGCATGGCTCATTTTCTTGCCTTAGCAGTCTCACACATCCTGGCTTGGCATGCGTGAGACCCAGTTTTTTTCTCCCCCAGAGTGGCTCATTTCCATGACACTCCCATGCATGTGCACATGTTCTAAGAGACTGCTTTATGTCATGTGACATAAGCCATTTAGTTATCTCTGTTGAGGGATAACTAGATGGCTCCAGTTTTGTATGCTGGGAACACCGTGTGTGTGTGTGTGTGTGTGTGTGTGTGTGTGTGTGTGTGTGTGTGTGTGTGTGTGTGTGTGTGTGTGAAATGCCACTGCTCAGAATTGGGGAGGCTTTCCCAAGTGGGATTTCTCGATGCGTATATGGATTGTAATGGAGTCTCATCTTGTTATACCCTCGCTAATTCCTGGGATCACTTTTAAGTTTTTTTTTTTTTTTTCCCAGACTGATAGGTAAAATAATATTGTTTCAGGTTTCCATTTCCTTAAATGACGCAGTTCAGAGCTTGCTAGGTAGCCAGCCCTGGGATCATGACTTGACTATTCTGTGTCTTGGTGTTTTTGTCTTTTAAGATGGGATGGGGACAGTAGGCCGGACGCCCGTGGCTCACACCTATAAACCTAGCTACCCAGGAGGCTGAGATATGAGGATCTGATTCAAAGCCAGCCTGGGCAGGAAAATCAGTGAGACTCTTGTTTTAATTTTTATTTTTGGTCAGTTGTAGGGCTTGAGCTTAGGGCCTGGATACTGTCCCTTAGCTTTTTTTCCACTCAAGACTAATGCTTTACCATTTTGAGCCACAGCACCACTTCTGGTTTTCTTGTGGTTAATTGGAGATAAGAGTCTCACAAACTTTCCTGCCTGGGCTGGCTTTGAGCTTCGATCCTCAGATCACAGCCTCCTAAGTAGCTAGGATTACAGGCATGAGCCACTAGCACCTGGCTAGAGACTCTTTTATTAACCACCAAAAAACCAGAAGTAGCACTGTGGCTCAAAGAAGTAGAGTGCTAGCCTTGAGCAAAAGAGCTTAGGGACAGTGCTCAGGTCTTGAGTTCAAGTACTACATTTCCCCCCACCCAAAAAAAAAAAAAAAAAGGCACAGTGATTGGAAGATCTATATTACAGTGGTGTCAAGTTAACACAAACATTTGACACAAAGGATGAAATCAACAAATGTTAGTGGCTACTCTTCCTGTTATTTTTCTCTTGATTAGCCATGTTTACTTTAGGACTTGCCTATTGATAGATTTCACTCATTTTTCTTCAGTTAACTTGCCTTTTCTTACTGATTTGTTACTGATTTGTAAGAGCTCTTTATATACTATGGCTTTGAGGTTTGTTTGTTTGTTTTTTGCGGGTCGTGGGGCCTGAACTCTGGGCCTGGGTGCTGTCCCTCAGCTCTTCCGCTCATGGCTAGCACTCTACCACTTGAGCCACAACACCACTTCTGGCTTTTTCTGCTTATGTGGTGCTGAGGAATCGAACCAGGGCTTCATGCATGCTAGGCAAGCGCTCTACTGCTAAGCCACCTTCCCAGCCCGAGGGTTTTTTCCTTAATACTTGTTCTACTTTCTTCTATTCTTTTGTTTGTCTTTTCACTTTAGTGCCTCTTTCATTTTTCATATACTTAAACACTTTTAAAATAGGGGGTTTGTCTACTTTTTCCACTCTTTCCCCCCCCCTCTGGATTTTGTGCCTTGTTTATGAAGATCTTCCCCACCCTCACATTGCAAAAAGCCTATTCCAGACTTTCCCTCCAGTGATCTTGTGGCCTGGGTCTTTCTGTGTGGTCTGCTGCCCGCCCTGAGTATCCTTTCTCTGGTCCGGACAGACGAGGAGGGGCCGGAGGGCCTCACCCAGTTCCTGATGACCGAGGTGCGCAGGCTTCGGGAAGCTCGCAAGAGCCAGCTGCAGCGAGAGCAGCAGCTGCAGACCCGGGGCCGGGTGCTGGAGGAGGAGAGGGCCGGGCTGGAGCAGCGGCTGCAGGAGCAGCAGCAGGCTCAGGAGCGCTGCCAGCGGCTGCGGGAGGAGTGGGAGGCCGGTAGCCTGGAGCTGCTTCGGCTCAAGGACGAGAACTACATGATCGCCATGCGCCTGGCCCAGCTCAGCGAGGAGAAGAATTCGGCGGTGCTGCGCAGCCGAGACCTGCAGCTGGCGGTAGGTCCTGGGGAGGTGGCCGGGGTCCTAGGGGAAAAAAAAAATGAGGTTCATGTGAATGTAAGCTCGTGTCTCAGAGTCACCAGCCTCTTCACGTAGCTGGGATTACAGGTGTGAGCTGCTGTGCCAGACCTGCTTCTGACCTGGACAAGTCCTTATGTAGCTGCTTCATTGTGGTTCTCAACTGTGGGTCATTCTTCGTCTCCCCATGAAACATTGGCATGGCGGGGGGGGGGGGGGCTGTGGATATCTGGAGTCAAGGCCGGGGTGCTGCTAAGTGCCCTACAGTAACAGGACAGCGCCCACGACAAAGATGTCAGTAGTGATAAGGTGACCAAAGCTTAAGCGTGCTAGGCAGGTGCTCTACCACTTGAACCATGCCTCCAGACTTTTTTGCCCGTGGCTTATTTATCAGATAGGGTCTGGCACCAAATTGAACTCAGGGGCTTGAACTTGCTAGGCTGGGACTCTGCCACTTGTGCCATGCTTCCAGCCTCTTTTATACGTTGGTTGTATTTGAGGTAAGGTCTTTCTTTATACCTCGGCCAGCCTGGGCTGGGAGCCTCCTACGTGTGCTCCCCAGTGTTGCTGGGAATGATAGCAGTGCACCCCTCATACCCCGCCATTGTGCTAGGATAACAGGCGTGTGCCACTGCGTTCAGCCACGAGTTGAGATGGGAGTCTTGTGAACTGGTCTTGAACTGTGGTCCCCTGGTCTCTGCCTCTCTAGTCGCTGGAATTACAGGTGTGAGCCACTGCGCTAGGCTTCTGATCAAGGAGCTGCCCTAAGCACTAGGGGCTTTCCTGTGCCCAGGGCACACAGCAGGGCTCCAGGAATCCAGTGGTGTTCTGAAGCCCCCTAGCCCATGGGCCTCGGGTGGGCCTGTGGGCCTGCAGGGGTGCAGGGCCTGTGGATGAGGGCTGACGTGGGGGAGGCTGGAGCTGTGGGTTTATGTGTGACGGGCCACTCTGTTTGATCAGGATGTTGAGGTGGCAGGTGAGTGTGGGTGGCTGGTTTGCAGTTGCGAGGTGACCATGGGCCAGCTACTTGGTGTCTGCCATGAAGTGGAGGTTTTCAGAGAGACGTGGGCAGGTCCTGGATGCCGGTCACAGGCCCAGCTCTCTCTCCAGTGAGCAGTGTGGCACGGCACGGCTTTGCTCTCCGGCCTCAGTCTCCTCATCCTCAAAGCGAAAGATCGTGGGTGAGGATGACAGCGCGATTGTACGTGCTTTACAAACGTATTCTTCACTATTCAGGAGGCTGAGATCTGAGGATCGCAGTTCAGAGCCAGCCTGAGCAGGAAAGTCCATAAGCCTTACCTCCGATTAACCACCAAAAAGCCAGAAGTGGAGAATGCCATCCTTGAGTGAAAAAGCCAATGAGTGCATGAGGCCCTGAGTTCAAGCCTCAGTACCAGCAAGTGGTGGGGGGGGGGGAGGGGGAACCCCTGTGTACCAGGCATGGTATTGGGTGCCAGCTGTGCACAGAAACCCTTCCCACTTCTCACAGTGCTGTGTTGGGATTGGACATTGCTGTTGTCCTCATTCCTGGAGGGGAAACTAAGGTACACAGGTGTCACTTAGAGCATTTTCCCAGCAGCAGAGTGTCCAGCTTTGTTCTCTGCATTGCTGAGGTGTGGAGGATCACAGATGGTGGGGGGTGTCTCTGTTCTTTTTCTGAATCTCTCCCCAGAGGGAGAGAGGGCAGCTCTCTCTTTCCTGGCTCAGAGAGCACAATGTCCAGGCCGCTGGCTGGCTTTGCTGGGTCACTCTGTGTCTGTGTCTGTGTGCATGTACGTGTGTGCGTGCACCAATAGTAGAGCTTGAACTTGGCCTGGGCACTGTCTGTGAGCCTTTTTGTGCAGGGCTAGTGCTCTACCACTTGAGCCAAACCTCCACTTCTGGCCTTTTGCCTAATTGGAGATAAGAGTCTCTCAGACTTTCCGCTTTCTTCCTGGGCTGGCTTTTAACCTTGCTGCCCAGATCTCGGCCTCCTGAATAGCTAGGATTAACAGGAGTCAGCTACCACGCCTGGCTCACCTTAGCTTTTTTTTTTTTTTTTTTTGCTGCTCTTCTGTCAGGGAGTTTATAAAGGCATGGCAGGTGGATGGTAACAAGCCCATGGTGCCTGGCTTAGCAGCTTGGGTCCCCTCCCCCCACGGGCAGGTGTGTGGTGGCTGTGATTTAATACCATGTTTTTTATAAGGTGCAAATTTAATGAGCTGTTCTCTCTAAGCAACATAAACTTGAGACCCGAACGCTATAATTTGGTGCTAAGTGAGTTTGTACGCAGGATTAAACGTATCCAGGTGATCAACAGAGACTCCAGGAGTGGAGTTCTCTGAGCTTATGGGGTGGGGTGCCTGCTGGGGGGGGGTCAGGCGGGGCGGGGGGGGGGGCAGGCGGCATGGAGTGCGGGGCTGCAGTTGTGAAGGGTGTGATCACGCTGGCCTCTGGGCCTGGCTCTTGCTCCTGAGGATCACAAAGCATGTTTTGTGAGCAGAAAGGAATGTAGGAGTCATGAATATCTTTCCGAGTCTTTGTGGAGGAGGATGCACTGTTAATTCATGGACCGGCCCCGTGTGTGTGTGTGTGTGTGTGTGTGTGTGTGTGTGTGTGTGTGTGTGTGTGTGTGTGTGTGTCTGTCTGTCTGTCTGTCTGTCTGTGTGTCTGTGTCTGCCTGCCTGCCTGTCTGTCTGTCTGAGGCCTGGATTCCAAGGGCACCACATGCACATGCAGGCTGGCCGGAGGACCGCCCCCCGACAAGTTCGCTGTGATTGCTCCCCAACAGTAGCTGCATGTCATGGCCTGGCCGGGTGTGTCTGCAGCCTGGCCGTCCCAGAGCCCACAGGAGCTGGCTGAGAGCTTTGGGAATGCAGCAGAGCGGCCATGTGCAGCCATCCTTGGCCTGGCCCGGCTGCCCACTTCCACCTGTGCCAACCTCTGTTGACTGGCAAAGGTTATGGGTTTTATTTAAAGGGGTAAAGATAGCCAGGCACTGGTGGCTCACGCCTGTAATCCTAGTTACCCAGGAGGCTGAGATCTGAGGATTGTGGTTTGAAGCCAGCAGGACAGGACAGCCTGTGAACTCTTTTTTTTTTTTTTTTTTTTGTCGGTTGTGGGGCTTGAACTCTGGGCCTGGGCGCTGTCCCTCAGCTCTTTAGCTCAAGGCGAGCGCTCTACCACTTGAGCTACAGCGCCACTTCCGGTTTTCTGGTGGTTTATTGGAGATAGGAGTCTCACGGTGTTTCCTGCCCGGGCTGGCTTTGAACCTCGATCCTCAGATCTCAGCCTCCTGAGTAGCTAGGATTACAGGCGTGAGCCACCAGCGCCCAGCAGCCTGTGAACTCTTATCTCCAATTAACCACCAGAAAAACTGGAAAGTGGCGCTGTAATTCCAAGTGGTAGCACGCTAGCCTTGCGCACAAAAGCTCAGGGACAGTGCCTAGGCCCTGACGTTCAAGACCCACGACTGACAAAAACACAGCAAGTAAAAAGCTAGAAGTGGAGCTGTGGCTCAAGTGGTGGAGCTTTGATTGGGAAAAGCTCAAGGACAGTGCCCACATCCTGTGTTCGAGTCTCAGGAGCGGGACTTGGAAGTTTGGGGGTGAGCCAACAGCCTCAGCTTTTGGCAAGAGACCAAACCCTGTGCACACCTGGTCTGAGTGTGCAAGGAAGCAGAGGGACGTGGTACACCTGCGTGGGTACAGATGAGGCGGTCGTACGACCAGGGCTGTACCGCCCAAGGCTGCCCTGAATTGAGGCCGGATGGGGCCCAGACATTGCTCCCCTAGTTTTCACGGGCCCCCTTGTTCCCCCTCATGCCGATGAGGCAGGGCGGGTGGGGTGTGTGACGTCACACATCGGCCCCTAGCAGAGGTGAAGCAGGGTCCCCGGGGAGGGCACCTTGGCCTCCTTGTCCCCCTACCTCCTCCCTGCGAGTCTGTGTTTGCTCAGCCTGCTCCCTCTTCCAGGCAGGTCTGGGGGTGGGGGTGGGGCTCCTGTCAGGCCCCTCTGGGGGCCTGGGGCAGTGGTGGCGGCGGGGGGGGGGGGGGGGAGGGAGGGGGGGGTCCCATGGGAGGGAGCTGACGCCTGTCCTGGACCCCAGGTGGATCAGCTCAAGCTCAAGGTCAGCCGGCTGGAGGAAGAATGCGCTCTGCTTCGGAGGGCCCGGGGAGCGCTGCCCGTGGCTGAGGACAAGGACAAGGAGCCGGACAGCGCCGACCTGCTGTCCGAGCTGCGGGCCGAGAACCAACGGCTGACGGCCTCGCTGCAGGAGCTGCAGGAGGGGCAGCAGCAGGTAGGGGTGGCGCTGGGTCCAGGTCATGGGGACAGGGTTTCAAGGCCAGCGCTCTAACTGCTGGAGCCACAGCTCCACTTGCGGCTTTTTTGCTAGCTAATGGGAGATTCCTGCCCGGGCTGTCTTTGAACTCTGATCCTCAGATCTCAGCCTCCTTTGGAGTGAGGATTACAGGCATGAGCTACTGATGCCCAGCATTGCTTTTTATTGTATGTATGTACGTGTATATGCGTATATACAGACATAAGTACATATCTATAGGTATTTATTTTTGGTGCCTGTCCTGGGGTTTGAACTCAGGGCCTGAGCACTGAGTTTCTGTCTCCAAGATAGTGCTCTACCACTTTGAGGCCCAGCTCCATTTCTGGCTTTTTGGGGTAGTTAATTGGAGGTCAGAATCTCATAGACTTTCCTTCCTGGGCTGGCATCGAACCAGGATCCTCAGATCTTAGCCTCCTGATTAGCTAGGATTAGGCATGATAGGCCCATGCCTGGCTATTTATTTATTTGTTTTTGTGGATCAGGGCCTTGTACACACTAGACGCACAGTGTACCCTGGACCATACCTCCAGCTGTTTTTGCTTTAGTAATTATATCTTTTTTTTGTGGGGGTAGTACTGGGTTTAAACTTTATGTGTGCCAGACAAGTGCTCTACTGCTTGAGCCATACCCCCTGCCTGTTTGCTCTGGTTATTTTTGAGACAGTGTCTTGCTTTTCTCCTGGACTGCAGGCCTCCCTGTTCATACTTCCCATAACATCTGGGATGGCGGACATACACCCACCATACACAGCTTTTATGTTCATTAAATTGGGGGTGTCTCATGATTTTTTTTTGCCTGGGCTGGCCTAGAACTGCCATTTTTCCTGTCTCACACGTAACTGGGATGTCAGGCAGTGTCATGACCCAGGAGTTGCTTCTTGCTCGGAGATATGTAGAACTCTGAGACTCCTGTCTCTGCCTCTGAAGTGGCTGGGACTATAAGCATGTATTACAATACTCATCCCCCAGACATTGGGTTTTTCAGATAAGGGTTGGCCCTGTGGCCTAGACTGGCCTTGAACAGTTTTCCTCCTGTCTCAGCCTCCTGAGTCCTTGTATTACAGGTACACACTACCAGCCTGGCCTTCTTGGGGTTTGTGGAGGGGTTTTGACTCTGAAGAGGTTGAGGCTGAGGGCTTGCTTGGCATCTCTTGTTAGGTCAGTGATGGAGTGGGCCAGCCACACAGAAAGGGAGGGTGGGGCTGGGGTACTGGCTGGGATGTGGGTGTAGGGGCTAGACCTGGGGCCTGTGGTCACCTGCTTGACAATCCTATGTCGGAGGTGTCAGAATGGATCAGCAGCCACCAGCTGTTGTCCTGGGTGCTGGGGCCTGGCTGAGCCTCATGGTGTGACCCCGCTGTGTCCTGGAGGGTGGGCAGGCCCGTGGTGCCACGCCGGCTCTCCTCCTCGCTAGGTCTTAGTGGCAGAGGGAGGGTGTATGTGTATGTGGGGGGGATGAGGGCTGACGTGGCTCTGCTCTCGGCCCCCCAGGAAGCCAGCCGGCCGGGGGCCCCAGGCTCGGAGCGCATTCTCCTAGACATCCTCGAGCATGACTGGCGTGAAGCGCAGGACAGCAGGCAAGAGCTGTGCCAGAAGCTACGCGCCGTGCAGGGGGAGTTGCAGTGGGCCGAGGAGCTGCGGGACAAGGTAGGGCACGCCCCCTCCCCGCCCACTCCTCCCCCTGCCCTCTGCCGGAGCCCTGGCCTGTGGGAGTGAGGCCCCAGGCAGTGGTCCAGACCATCGGCCTAGGCACGTGGGCTTGTGTCACAGGGCATGGGCATCTCACTGGGCCTGCTGGGGACAGGCCGGGGCGTCCCCTGCACGGCCCTGAGCCTACCCTCCCACCCTGCCCACAGTACCTGCAGGAGATGGAGGACCTGCGGCTGAAGTATCGCACGCTGCAGAAGGACTGTGACCTGTACAAGCACCGCATGGGCACCGTGCTGGCCCAGCTGGAGGAGGTGGAGAAGGAGCGGGATCAGGTGAGCCTAGCTACTAGATGCTAGATCTAGTTCTCAGAAGAGAAAGGGGGCCGGGAACTGGTGGCTCACGCCTGTCCTCCTAGCTACTCAGGAGGCTGAGAGCTGAGGATCGTTGGTTCAGAGCCAGCCCGGGCAGGAAAATCCATGAGACTATTTTTGTCGATAATGGGGCTTGAACTCTGGGCCTGGGTGCTGTCCCTCAGCTCTTCAGCTCAAGGCGAGCGCTCTACCACTTGAGCCACAGCGCCACTTCCGGTTTTCTGAGATAGGAGTCTCAGGGACTTTCCTGCCCGGGCTGGCTTTGAACCTCGATCCTCAGATCTCAGCCTCCGGAGTAGCTAGGATGTCAGGCGTGAGCCACTGACACCTGGCATGAGACTTATCTCCAGGTAACCACCAGAAAACCAGAAGCGGAGCTGTGGCTTAAGCGATAGAGCACTAGTCTTGAGCGGAAAAAGCTAAGGGATAGATTCTAGGCTTTGTGCCAGGTGCTGGTGGCTAATACCTGTAATCCTAGCTACTCAGGAGGCTGAGATCTACGGATCACAGTTTAAAGCCAGCCAGGACAGAAAAGTCCCCATGAGACTCTTATCTCCAATTAACCACTCAGAAACCAGAACTGGGCTGTGGCTCAAGTGATAGAGTACTAGTCTTGAATGACAAAGCTAAGGGATAGAAACCAGGCTTTGCGTTAGAGCCCGCATTGGTTGGAGTTAGGGGCTGAAGCGCTCTCACACTGGGACAAGCTCACACTGGCTGCCCCGGGGTGCAGCCGGGGTCAGGCCTCAGACACTAGCCAGGCAACTTCCCAGCAGGGCCCTTGCGCCTTCGGTAAGTCACCAGGCTGCTGCCCTAGCCCTACCTTGTCCTTGAGTTCTAGAAGTCTAGTCCCTCGCTTCACTGGTGCTCTCCGCAGTGACAGAGCTGTGTCTACACCCTTCCTTGGGAATCCTTGTTCCCTGAGTGGCCGGGAGAGTGGGGCCTCAGGCATGTGCTGAGAAAGAAATTCTCCGAAGTTTTGGCTTAGTTCCTGGCATCACAGCCTTGTCTCCTGTCAAGGGGGGGGGGGCGGGGGAGGGTGATTCCTTAGTGCCCTGGGCGGGAAGGAGGAAGAGGAGATGGAGGAGGAAGGAGATGGAGTCTTCTGTCTTTTTGTGGTTTCTGGGCTGGTACTAGGACTTGAACTCTGGGCTTGGCACTGTCTCTTAGATTTTTTGCTTAAGGCTGGTGCTAATTGGAGATAAGAGTCTCACAGACTTTCCTTCCCAGACTGGCTTTGAACTTCAATCCTCAGATCTCAGCCTCCTGAATAGCTGAGATTACAGGTGTGAGCCACCAGTGCCCGGCTCATGGTTGTTTTTGTGTGTGTGGTGGTGGTGGGAGGGGTTATGGGGTTTGAACTCTGGGCCTGGGTGCTGTCCTTGAGCTCTTCAACTCACAGCACTCTACCACTTGAGCCACAGCGCCACTTCTGATTTTCTGGTGGTTCACTGGAGAGGAGAGTCTCATCTTTCCTGCCTGGGCTGGCTTTTACCTGCCATCCTCAGATCTCAGCCTCCTGAGTAGCTAGGATGGTAGGCGTGAGCCACCGGCGCCTGGCATCATAGCTCTGTTCTTGCACGAGGGCCATCCCGCTGTGGTTCCTTCAGCGGGGGGTTCCCCTGGCTCGCTCCAGGCCATCCAGAACCGTGACCGGATCCAGCTGCAGTACTCGCAGAGCCTCATCGAGAAGGATCAGTACCGCAAGCAGGTGCGGGGCCTGGAGGCCGAGCGGGACGAGCTGCTGACCAGGCTCACCGGCCTGGAGGGCACCAAGGCCCTGCTGGAGGCGCAGCTGCAGCGGACCCAGGGAGGCTCCTGCCTCAAGGTGAGCCTCAGCCTGGGGGCGGGGGAGGCTGGGCGCCCTCAGGTGGGGGGGAGCATGGCGGGGGGCTGCCTAGGCCTGTAGCTGGGAGTGGGGTGGTCGGCGAGCAGGATGGGGCACACAGCTGGCCGAGTTTCTGGGACACAAGGGTAAATTGAACTGCCTCTCTTTTGCTTTTTCCTTGCTGCTGGGACTGGGTTGAACTCTAGGCCTGGATGCTGTCCCTGAGTGTTCTATCACTTGGGCCACAGCTCCACTTCTGGCTTTTTGGTGGTGAGTGGGTGGTTAGTTGGAGATAAGGGTCTCATGGACTTTCCTGCCTGGGCTAGCTGCAAATCATGATCCTCAGATCTCAGTTTTTTTTTTTTTTTTTGCCAGTCCTGGGGCTTGAACTCAGGCCTGGGCACTGTCCCTGAGCTTCTTTTGCTCAGGGCTAGCACTCTACCACTTGAGCCACAGCGTCACCTCTGGCTTTTTCTGTGTATGTAATACTGAGGAACTGAACCCGGGACTTCATGCCTGCTAGACAAGCACTCTACCACTAAGCCACATTCCCAGCCCAGATCTCAGTTGCTAGAGTGACCAGAATTCTAGGCTTGAATTGTGAGTTGTCTTTGCACTCACGTGGGCCAGCATGGGCGCTGGAGGGTCTGTCTGTAAGCCCACAGGATGCAAGACAGTCCTCAGGCACAGGGTAGGTTGGAAGTCAATCCCTTTCAGGCTCGGGTTGGGGATGCATTAGGTCAGCCAGGCAGCCCTGGAGGGGAGAATCTCCAAACCTTGAGTAAATCAGACACCAGCCCTCCAGCTGCTGCCCCACGGGGGCCTTGTCCTGTCCTGTCCTGTCCTGTCCTGGGTTGCTTGATCACAAGGAGGCCAGGATGGAAGCAGAGAAGACCTGAGGCTGCAACCACTCACGTGTCAGGACCTTCAGTGACTCTTTGATCTCCTTGTCCCCGGTAGTCAGCTCCACGTGACTCAGCATTTACAAGCCTGGAATGAGTCTTAGTCCTGCCCCAGGGCCTTTTCACTTGCCAGTGTGTCTGCTGGAACCGCACTCTCTCTTGTACCTACCCAGCACTGACAAAAGGTGGAGTGCTCTGTCCTAACTTTCAGCCAGGAGCTAGACTCTTATCTCCATCTAACCAGCCAAAAGCTGGAAATAGAGGTGTGGCTCCAGTGATAGAGCACCAGCCTTGAGCAAAACAGCTAATCTCTGAGTTCAAGCCCCATTACAATACAAAGCATTTTTTTTTTTTAAAAATGGCAAGTGCTGTGGGCCTGGGCTGGGAGGGGCCCTCCTTGGGTCTCTATCCAGGCCCAAGTGCTCTTACTGTTCCTCTTCTGGTCCTGTTTGTTCCTCCTCCTGTGGGCTGAGATCTGGGTTCCCCGGGCCCAGCTCTGCCCTGGGCCTGGGGTGTGTCTGTAACTGGCTGTATCTGGTCTGAGCCCAACCTTGCTCCGTCCCCTGCCCTCCCCTCCCCTCCTCTTCTAGGCCTGCACCTCCTCCCACTCCCTGTGCTCCAACTTCAGCAGCACCTGGAGCCTCAGTGAGTTCCCCTCCCCCCCGGGAGGCCCGGAAGCTGCCTTGGGGGAAGCGTGCACCTCGGGATCTGAGCCCTACACCTTGGTATGACCCCCCCCCTTCCTGCCCCCCACACGGGAAAGCCGGTAGCAGTGAGTGCTGTAGCTTGTTCCCAGGGCCACTGTGTGGGAGAGCAGGACCAGCTGCGTGCTGCCCAGGCCTGGGCGCCGGCAGCTGTAGTCTTGCTCCTGTCCGGGACCTGGGTCCTGTCTGTGGAATGGGCACGGAGCCGGGGGTGCAGGGGGCTGGGCAGGGGTGACCAGGCCCTGCCCTGGTGTTGTAGGATGAGGCCACAGACAGCGAGAAGGAGATCAACCGCCTCTCCATCCTGCCCTTCCCCCCCAGCGCGGGCTCCATCCTCCGCCGGCAGCGAGAGGAGGACCCTGAGCCCCCCAAGAGGTAAATAGGTTGGTGACTCGGGAGCCCCAGGGTGGTGGACCTACTTGCAGCCCTTCCCGGGAGCCCGGGAGCCAATCAGGACCTGGAGGCCCATCCCCAGATGGCCCTCTGGGGGCCTAGGAGGTGACGTTGGGAGGTCTCCCATGGGGCCCCTCAGTGGCCTTCTGAGGGGAGCGTGTGCTCGTTGAGAGAGGTCCTGTCGGGGGAGGCCGCCCTCATTGGGGAGGTGACGTTATAGTCAGAGAATGGAAGACACGGAGCGAGATGGGGAGGGTGACGTGGCGGGGGGCTCCTCGGAGGAGGGGGCACAGAAGAAACTGGCCCTGAAGGCCGGGGCAGCTGTGGAACCTGTGACAGAGGTCACGTGTGAATTTCTTGCCCTGTGACTCTAGGGGAGCGGGGTGGCAGCACCTAGGTCTAGCCTGCGTTTGTTTGGGGATGGCAGGACCTTTTTTGTCCTCTTGGGGGCACGGGGGGGGGGGGGGACAGAGAGCCCTGAGTGCCTCGCCTCCTGCCCGCCTCCTCTTCTTCGCCAGGTCCTTCAGCAGCATGTCGGACATCACAGGTAACCGTGGGGGGCAAGGGGCTCATGGCGGGGCTGTGGTGCCTGCCCCGCCCCTTCCCCTCCCAGGCAGAGTCCTGGCCAGGCGGCAAGGCCCGTTGGAGGCTCCTGACTTGTCCTCTGCCTCCCCAGGGAGCGTGACACTTAAGCCCTGGTCTCCAGGACTGTCCTCCTCGTCCTCCTCCGACAGCGTGTGGCCCTTGGGAAAGCCCGAAGGCCCCCTGGGCCGGGGCTGTGGCCTGGGTCTCTTCAACAGGTAGGTGGCCGCCTGGGCTGGGAGAGCGGGGGACGGGCCACCGGGGCTGGAGCGGGACAGGGACCAGGCAGAGGCAGCCCCAGAAGAGCAAGTTCCCTAGAGCTGGGAACTGGCCTGTGCGGCCCGGGGCCGTTGTTTCCCCTCCCACGCCTCAGTTTCCCCACTGGTTGAACCACCTGATGACCCCTTTGGCCTGTGAGTGGTTTGAGTTTATGATTCTCAGAGCCCAGCAGGCATGTAGTAGATGCTCAGTAAACAGTAGCTGCTATTGGGTGCCTCCCACCTCCTGGCTGGACCAGGCCCCCGGTGGAGCTTCTTGCAGGGGTAGGGTTGGAGGAGGGGGAGGGACACCTTGATGGCCTGGATCTGGGCTGCCCCAGAGCTGGAAGTAGGAGTCACAAAACACTAGCACAGGGCGTGCTGTTGGCTCACTGTGGCTAGTGGATCTACGGGGTGGGGGCCAAAGGGGGGGCACTGAGAATGTGATCTTTGACCTCAGCAGCTGTAGAAAGAACAGAGACTGAGGGGTGTGGAGTCCCTGAGGAAGGGAGGTGGGAGATGGGGAAAGGGGAAAACCAGGCTGGAGGGAGTCACTGGGGGCTCGGTGGGTGAACTTCAAGCTCCCTGGGAAGGTCTTGCTATGATGATGCTACTCTGGCTGGGAATGGGGGCACTGTGATGATCCCCACCCCACCCCCTGTTTTATAAATGAGAAACAGGCTCAGAGAGGTTGAGGATCTTTCCCCAGGTCACACAGCTGAGGCATGCCAGGGCTAGGTCTACAGGGAGCTGCCTAGGCTTGGGTTCGGGAAATCGGTGAGCAGCAGAGCTGAAGGGTGATGCTGGCTTCCTAATGGATCTGGGGTGGGGGGCCTCCAGCTCCCTGCCTCCCAGAGGCAGCCTGGCCTGGCCTGTGCAGGGCCCTGCCCCCACCCACATCCCGGCAGCTACATTGTTTCTGCCTTCCAGGACGCGCTTCTGGGGGAAGGGGCGGAGGCGCCTCCCTTCCTGCCTGCCTGGGCGCTTCCTCCAGCCTGGACCTGCAGCGGGGGTCCTGGCTGCCGGCCAGGGGCCTCCAGGATACAGCCCTGGGAGCAGGAGGGCCTGGCCCTGTCCTGCCCCAGGGGGGACCATGTCGGTCACCTCTGCTGTTCCTGGAGAGGAGGGAGTTGGAGGAGGAATGCAGGTTAGGCCTGGGGCTGGGTGGCTGAGAAGAAAAGGAGATGGATGGATAGACAGGCCCTCTCTAACGGGGCAGTGGGGCACCGGCCTGGACCCTCAGGCAATAGAAGAGAGTGAGCTTCAGAGTCGGCTTCCTGCACCCGGCTCTCAGCTCTGTCACTGCCGGGCAGTGGGTTGGGCACTTAATTTCTCATCCTCAGTCTCTGCTCTGAGAAACAGTGCATTCCAGTAGTGCCTGTCCACGGGCCTCTGGGGGTGAGGGCGTCCCGTGTTCCTCCTCCCCAGGGCCTGGCCCAGGTGTTTACAGGACTGGGATTTGTAGGTGTTTGTTCCAAGTCACAGGCCTGTGACCCCTCGGTCGGCTCCTTTCAACCTTGCTTGCATTCAGGTTCAGCCCCCGATGTCCTGGGCACCATGCTGGGTGCCTCTCTCCCCTTCCTGCCATCTCTTCCCCTCCCCTTCCCTGAGCCACCCCCCTTCCACTCCCCCCCATCCCCGGTGCTCCCTCCTCTGGGTACGGTGGGGCAGTGGCCAGGGCTGGAGATGGAGAGATGGCTGGGGTAGGGGACCATGAAGAGCCCAAGAGTGAGTGGAGGCCCTGGCTGAGGAGAGGCAGGGCACGGGGCACTGGAGAGGGCTCCCCGCCCCAATCCCTGCCAGGCCACACCCTTGCCTGCACGCAGAGGATTCCAGAACCTCCTGTCCCCACAGGAGAGCGTTCGCACGGTCTTTGACTCCCATTCCCTGCCAGCTGTACCACCTTGGGCAGGTCATACCTCCCCTGTGCCTCAGTGTCCCTTGTCTCTAACGCAGGTCACCTCGGCCCTCCCTGGGGGTGTGGGGGCAGGACGTGTCGTCATCGTCATTATGGATATGTTTCAATCTCAGGGTCCCAGACTCCTGACCAGTGCGGAGCTGCCACGTTTCCCATGGTGCCCCGGGGCAGGGCGCTGAGTGAGGCCGGTGCCCTGTGTGGCCCAGAGCTGGCAGACTCCCAGTTCTCATTTGCTCATGACCTGACCCCTGACCTGATTTGGGGGGGGGTGGAAGCTCCCCCACATTGTGCAGGGGCAGGGCCAGTGTACTCCCCCCTGCTGCTAGACAAGAGGGGTCTGTGTACACCCTGCTCCCAGCAACCCCAGGCCAACGGCAGGGGCTCAGGGACATCACTGGGTCCTTTGGGGACCTGGGAAGGTTGGCTGAGGTAGTCGTGGAGGGGGGTGGGGCATGCAGAGCAGGATGTTTAGGGAACAGCAGGAATTGGCAGGAAGACAGACCGTGCATGTATGTGTGTGTGGGGGGGGAGAGGCCCTGAGCTGGAATTGCAGGGGTGAGGTGGGCAGGGGCAGGTGTCTGTGGCGGTCGGTCAGCAGTTTGCAGGAAAACTGAAGCTATGACAGACTCAGAGCATCCACTGAGCGGCCCGGGTGTGACCTGTGTTCTGCTGGCCACACCTACACTGGGAGAAGCCCGGGCTGCCACACACAAAGGCTGCCTTGACCTGGGAGGAGGCAGGCTTCTGGTTTTTGTTTTTGTTTCCCTCCTATCCCACTAGCAAAACATAGCCAGTCAGGACCCTGCCGACCCCGGGTCTGTCTGCCTGTAGTATTTTTCCTTTGCTTTGACCCCTGTATTCAATGTGGTAGAGGGATCATTGTCCTTACTTTGTGTGTGTGTGTGTGTGTGTGTGTGTGTGTACACTAAGGTGTGAACTCAGGACTGTCCCGAAAAGCTTCTTTTGCTGGAGGCTGGCACTGTACCACTGAGCCACAGCTCTACTGGCTTTTTTTGGTGGCTAATTGGAGATAGGAGTCTCATGGACTCTTTTTGCCAATCCTGGGGCTTGAACTCATGAGCCTGGGCACTGTCCCTGAACTTCTTTTGCTCAAGGCTAGCACTCTACCACTTGAGCCACAGCGCCACTTCGGGCTTTTTCTGTGTATATGGTGCTGAGGAATTGAACTCAGGCAAGCACTCTACCACTAAGCCACCTTCCCAGCCCTCATGGGCTTTTTCTGCCTGGACTGATTTGCCCTCATCTTACTGACAAACAAGACCTGGCTCATGTGCATGTGTCCCTAGCACAGATTTCCCAGGGGCGTGGGGTCCTTCTAGTGCATTCTTTCCAGGCCTCTCACCTCACTTCGCCAAGCCAGGACACAACCAACCCCGCATGCCCAGCTCTGCTTTGCCTCAGGGACAGCGATGGAGACCAAGAGGGCCAAGAGGAACCTAGGCTCCCCAGGGGCGCTGATCAGTCTTTGCAGCTTTGGCTACCGTAGATGGGCAGCAGGGGGCAATGTGGCCAGATGTGTGCTCCAGCTGCCAGGCACCTCTCCCTCTGGGGCCAACCCTAGTTCACTCGGGATCAGTTTGTTTGCGAACCTGGCCACAGAGTCTTCTCAGGTCTCAGCCAGGGACAGGCAGGGTGCTGCCGCCATGGGCACCTTGGTGACTCCGTCTTAGCCATCAGTGGCTTCCACTGCTCAAGGAAGGCTAGATGCCCAGGTGTCCACCCCAGGGAACCTCACCCACCTATGCTCCCAGCATGGCAGGTCTGCGTTTATCCTAACAGCACCCCCCACCCACCCTTGTTGGATTGAGAAAAAACACCGAGGGGGCTCCTCTGTGCGTGGGAAAGTGAGTGTGGTGTTAGGGACACACACAGGGCTGGCTGGCGCTCGAGGCCTTCTTCCTGAAGGACAGGACAAGGGGAAATGCACAGTGGCCACAAGGGACGATCCGTGTACGTCTGCAGCAAGCTGCATGCACTGCATGGGCGGGGTGTGTCTGGGGAGAGGGCATTTTGGTTTTTGTGGTATACTAGGCTTGAACTCAGGGCCTGGGCACCTCTCATAGTGGTTTTGTTCAAGGATGGCATTCTACTTCTTACGCCACCAGCTCTACTTCTGGCCTTTAGGTGGTTAATTGGAGATGAGTCTCACAGACTTTTCTGCTCGGGCTGGCTTCAAACTGATCCTCAGATCTCAGCCTTCGGAGTAGTTAGGATTACAGGCTTGAGCCACCAGTGCCTGGCTAAAGGCTGCTTTTGACTTGGATCCTGGAGGAGCAGAATGTGGACAAGGAGTGCAGTCCAGGCAGTGGACAGCACAGGGGAGCGCGGCTGGGACGGGACTCCTGGCAGCCCCTGTTCTGCAAGAATACCGAACTGTGTCCAAGTTGCACTTGAATCCTAATTCCCATCCTCTTCCTCCTTTCTCAGATCTCTGGCCATCCGAATGTCTGGCTGGAGCCCCCCAGGTGGCCCAGAATCCCAGGACAAGAATCCAGATAACCTATCGTTCCTCGGGGACAGATGGTCTGGGGCGGTGGTTCGGAGGGTACTTTCCGGGCCTGGGTCTGCCGGGACAGAACCAAGAGAGGTGAGGCGCTGGGGGTAGAGTTTGTTCATTAACCAGTGCTGGAGCAAGGGCAGACAGAGCTTCTGGTGATTGGCTAGAGCAGAAGCAACTGGGTATTAATTGAGATCTGATTGGGTAGGGGGTGGGGGGCGGGCAGGACCGACTTGACAAGTCCAAGTTTCACTCACAGATGGGTTATCTGTCTCAGCCCAGGGCAGAAGCTGCTGGTCTGGAGGGGCCCAGCCTGGAAGCAGAGGCTCAGCAGAGGACCTTGCCCTGGAGCCAGGTGACCACACTGCCCCTCCCACGGGACTCTAAAGGTAAGCTTGGCCTAGGGGAGGTCCTGGTAGATGAGGGCTGTGTGTGGGGGGGCAGGGAGGGAGGAAGGGGTGGTGGTGGCCCCGAGCCTGGCAGTGCTGGGCTTTTTGGGCCGTTCTGCTCTTTCTCTGTGCTGTGCTCAGAAAGCAGTTTATTGTGTAAGGGGCTGGACACTGGTGGCTCACACCTGTAATCTCAGCTACTCACCAGGCTGAGATCTGAGGATTGTGGTTCAAAGCCAGCCCAGCATGAAAGTCTTTGAGACTCTTTTTTTTTTGGGGGGGGGGTTTGAACTCTGGGCCTGGCTGCTGTCCCTGATCTCTTCAACTCAAGGTGAGCACTCTACCACTCGAGCCACAGCACCATTTCCGATTTTCTGGTGGTTCATTGGAGATAAGAGTCTCACGGACCTTCTTGCCCAGGCTGGCTTTGAACCATGACCCTCAGATCTCAGCCTCCTGGGTAGCTAGGATTATAGGCGTGAGCCACCTGTGCCCAACATCCTTGAGACTCTTAATATTCAATTAACCAGCAAAAAGCTGAAAGTGGAGGTGTGGCTCATGTGGTAGAGCACCAGCCTTGAACCAAATAAAGCTAAAGGACAGCCTCCAGGCTCTGAGTTCAAGTCCCAGTACGGGCACAAACACAACAAGGAAGCCATGGGGGATCCTGGCAGGACTGTGTGGTGGCTCCACTGAGACCACTTCTTGACCTCCTTGCCCTTCCCAGCCTGCCGGTCCTTCCACGAAGCCTTAGATGCCTGGTCAAAGGCACCGGGTGCAGAGCCATTCTACATCCGAGCCAACCTCACCCTGCCCGAGCGGGCAGACCCCCATGCCCTCTGCGTGAAAGCCCAGGAGGTCCTGCGGTTGCTGGACCCCGGGTACAAGCGGCGGCAGCAGTGGTTCTGTGCCAGGGTGGACCCTCTCACTCTGTGGGACCTGGATCGAGGCACTGTGCCCAATTATCAGAGGTGATGCTGAGCTTGGAGCTAGCAGGGGTGAGGGTGTGGGTGGAGGTGGGGGGGGCTCGGTTTCCCCTGTCACCCCCTCTGTCCCCTGGGGCAGGGCGGGTGGAGGGACAGGCGGGAGGGCCTTCCTTTCCTTTCCTCAAGGTCACCTGATGTCTCCCCCCAGAGCCCAGCAGCTCCTAGAAATCCAGGAAAAATGCCTGTCCTCCAGCCGGCACCGGAGCCCACGCAGTAACGTAAGCAGGGCAGGCCAGGCAGGGCCTGGGGAGAGCCGGACAGCAAGGGTGGCATCCAGAGGATGGGTGGGCTCTGTGTTCTGGCAGCCCTGCGGCAGGGGAATGGAGCCAGAGTCCACCTCGCTGCTTCAGAGACTTAGTTGATCACCTACTATGTGCCAGCAAACAGGTTTTCCCTGCCAGGGTGGTTGAGATGGAGGGCACCCATGCCCATCTCAGCATGGTGGGTGTATAATGCTGACAACACAGCAGTCATCTTCCCTTCTCCAGCCTGGGCAGGGCCCGAGCCAGGTCGGCCTCGTCACTGTGGGCCTAAGAGGTTAGGTCCCTGCAGAAACCCCTTAGTGGAGAGCTGGCTGGGTGTGGGACAGACAACCTGGGGGTGGACCAGCATCTGAGCCTCTCTGGTCCTCTCTGCTACCTCCTGTCCAGTCCATGGGGCAGTTTTGAGAGGCTGCCTTGCTACTCTCCTGAACCGAACACAACTCCATTCCGTTGTGGACCTTCTGGGCCTGTTAGGCTTGGGGACCATTAGGGCTGCTCTTCTCAGCGGTTCCTTTCATCTTTGAATGCGAGGTCACGTGGCCGGCTCATTGGAGGAGTCAGTGTGGGCTGGGCTGTCAGGGAGGGGCGTGGTACCCATTTCTGGGGAGACTGGAAAATGGTGGTGGATGGGGCCTGCTCTGCCCTGCCCACAGCCCCTTGTACCCTCCTCCCCTGGTGGGGGGCAGTGGCCTCTCTGCTGACCTCCTCTTTCCTGCTTTCCCCAGCTGAAGAAGCGAGCTCTGGGTCTGGTGAGGCCCAAGCCTGCAGGGGGTGCGGCAGGGGACTCCCCAGAGCAGCTGCCGCAGGAGCCCTGCTCAGGTGAGGGTGCAGGGGTCGGGGAGCATCTCCCAGGGCCCCCAGCAGTCCTGCGGCTTGAACTCCGAGCCTGGGCACTGTCCCGCAGCTTTTTAAAAACTCACCGCTGGTGTTCTACCACTTGAGCCACGCGTCCAGCTTTTTTGCTGGCTATTTGTATGGTCTCACTTTGAACCATTATCCTTCGATCTGAGCTTCCTGAGTAGTAGCTGGGATGACGGGCCTGAGCCACCAGCCTGGCTCTGATGGGCCTTTAAAGCCTCTCGGTGGTTGCTAAGTGAGGAATGGCCTGTAGGGGGCAGGGGTGAGGCAGAGGATCAGGGAGGTCACCACTGTCAAGGTTCCCGGGAGGGGGAAACAGCTGTGCTATGGTGTGCGTGTGTAAGCGTGTGCATGTACGTGTGCATGTACGTGTGCTCGGGTGAGGGGAGATGCTGGTAGTGGAGTGAGGAGGGGAAGAGGGTCTGGGCTCTGTGGGCCTCTCATCATCCACTGTCTTCCCGGCTACAGAGCCAGAGGGGAGCCTCAGACCCTACAGCCTGGTGCGGCCGCTGCTGGTGTCGGCGTTGCGGCCTGTGGTGCTGCTGCCGGAGTGCCTGGCGCCCCGGCTCATCCGCAACCTGCTGGACCTGCCTAGCTCCCGGCTGGATTTCCAAGTGTGCCCTGCGGGTGAGCGCGAGGTCTGGGCAGGGAAGGCTGGATGGCATGGGGGGAGGGGTGGGACGCAGGACCCAGACATCCAGCCCCGCGTCTGCCTCTTCCTCTCTCCCTGCAGAAAGCCTCTCCGGGGAGGAACAGGGCCCGGCCTCTGCTCCTGGGGCCCCCAAGGCCCAGCCTGTCACCCCTGGGCTGGGCAGCAGGATCCGAGCCATCCAGGAGTCCGTGGGGAAGGTAGGGACACAGAGCACCCCAGGGCCACCTTCTGGGCTCCTTGGAGCCCTTGCACGGGGCCTCTGCACCGGAGGGGTGGCTGGAATCCTTGTCCTCCAATTGGCCCCTCCTGGGGAGCCGGGTCAGGGCCTGCAGGGCAGTGGATGATGGGTGGGTGGGGTGGACTCCCTCCTAGAGATGGGGGGGTGGTCCAGGGCCAGAGCAAGGACGTGACCTTTCTCCAGGTCAGCAGAGAGCCCCATGTGTCCAGCTCTCTACTCACACCTGGGAAGAGGGCCAGGGGTAACTTGGGGTCCCTCCTGCACAGAAGCACTGTCTGCTGGAGCTGGGGGCGCGGGGCGTGCACGAGCTGGTCCAGAGCGAGGTCTACCCCATTGTCATCCACGTGGAGGTGACGGAGAAGAATGTCCGAGAAGTCAGGTGAGCGCAGGGGCCGGCTCGCTCTGTGGACATTTCTGCCTCCATCCCAGAGGCCATCTGTCTGTCTGTCCTGCCTCCCTCCCTGTCCGCTCCTCCCTCAGACTCATGGCTTTGTTTCCGTCTGCCCGTCGGGGTCCTGGCTGACCTGGCGGCGCCTGCGCGCTCTCTGCTCTCTCCGCAGGGGCCTGCTGGGCCGCATGGGCTGGCGGGACTCGGAGCTGCTGCGGCAGTGTCGGGGCGCAGAGCAGGCGCTGTCGGGGCTGCCCTGCTCCTGGGTGCAGGTGCCGGCGCACGCATGGGCCCACGCGGAGGAGCTGGCCAAGGTCGTGCGGGGCCGCATTCTGCAGGAGCAGGCCCGCCTCGTGTGGGTAGAGCGAGGCACCGCCTGCGGCAGCAGCAACAGCAGCGAGGCCTGAGGGGCCCGTGCCTGGGTCTGTCCTGCACCTGACACGGGAGCCTCCTCCATCGGATGCCTGGCCTCCTCCATAGGATGCCTGGCCTCCTCCATCTGATACCCAGGCCTCCTCCATCTGATGCCCGGGCCTCCTCCATCGGATACCCGGGCCTCCTTCCACATTGCAGGAGCTGCTAGCTAGAGGACCCTCTGTGGTGGAGTGAGTCCTTCCTCCTTCCCAGGCCCTTGGGTTCTGCAGTGTGGGCCCCTCGGCCTGGCCTCCCGCTCTCCTGTTGGTCGCCGGCCCACGGCCACTGACCGGCAGAGCCCGACTCAGTGCTGGCCCTGCACTTGCTGCTCCGGGCCTTCCACACTCCCACTTGGTCTCAGTGTGCGTCTGTGTCCCCTTCTCGAAGGCTCCTCACCCCTGGGCAGCGTTTGCAGGAGTTCTCCCCTGGGGGTGGGCGGGGCTCTGGCTCGCCCCTCCCCCCGTGCAGGAGGCTGCCCTGTGTGACTCCACCCATCCACCTTCCCTGTCGGTGGGTATGGCCACATCGTCCATTGTCCACCTGTGTCTGTCCTCTGTATCTGCGCTTCTGTCCCACCCCACCCCCCTGGCACTGGGCACTCACACACACGTGTGTTCTCAACGCACGCTGTCTCACGCCCTGCCTCGGAGGGGAGGGCCAGGGGCGCGGCTGCTCGGCCACCAGAATGTGCGCCCGGACGTTCCTCACGGGCCTTTTCCACTAAGCTGCACACTACGGAACATTAAACACTGTTTGTCATAGGTCGAGTGGCGTCTGCCTGCTTGCAGCCCTGGCCTGGGGCTGCCCCTCCACGCCTCCCTTTTGTCCCTACCCCCAGCCCCGACTGATGTCACCTTTCAGGTGCTGGGTCCCCGTGGGGTCAGATTTCCCTCCTGACTTCTCCAGAGCCGCCTGCCATCTGTGCCATCTGGGCCGGCATCACCTTACCTGCCCCGCGGCAGGCGGTGGGCCCTGTGGACGGGCCCCCAGCATGTGCCTCTGCGCGATCGGCAGAGGGGCGTCCTCGGGCGCAGAGTGCATGTGTGTGTGTGTGGGGGGGGGGGGGACTTCAAGGATCTGGCTGCTGAGCTCAGAGGACCAAAAGCAAGCCTTGGGAGGCGGCCCAGGCCCTGAGCCGGTCCCCCAGAGAGGACGCCATCTCCAGCAGGAGCAGTCCAAGCAAACCGACCAGACCAGGTGCCCCTTGGCCTTGGGGGTTGCCATTCCTTTTCTTCCAGGAAGCACTTATTGGCTGGGCATGGTGGCTCATGCCTGCAATCCCAGTCCTGCGGGCGTGGGGGGCAAGTAGGAGGTCAGTTGGGGTTATACAGTGAGACACTCACAAAATGAAACAAAACCACCAGAGTTAAAAGGAAAAGCAGTCTGCAGATGACTGTCTGGTAACAGTGCTGCATCTTGCAGACCTCAGGGGGCCTGGCTGGGGACTGGGGTACAGCTTGGGCTGCGTCTGTAGGCTGAGGAGCCTCCTGGGGTGCTAGAAGAGGCTGGGGGCAGGAGGAGCACTGTTGGGGGTTGGCACAGTGGCTGGAAGAGGGTGTCCATACTGGAGAGGGGGCACCAGCGCTGGGCAGACCAGGGACTTCCGGGGCTGGGGCTGGGCCATAATGGAAAGACTGGTGGGAATGGCCCTGAGCTTAGGAAGCAATCGGAGCTGAAGTTTTGGGGTGGTGGGTGGAGAGGGGAGGCATGGAAGCAAAGAGGGGAGGAGGCCTGGATGAGGAGCTCCGGCCCCATCTTTATCAAGGATGGGGTACCGAGGACATGAGGAATTCGAGGCTCTCTCTCGGTGAATGAGGGGGTGGAAGGAGAGAAGAGGAGCAGAACTGCTTTGCTGGCATGGAGAATGGGTGCGGAGTGGAGGGTTTGGTTGAAAAACTTGCAAGCAAGCTCCTGAGCTTCTCAACCTGAGCTCCCAGTAGCTGCTCTAACCTCTGCCCTGTGTGCTCAGACTTGGGGCTGGCCAGGAGGCGTGGGGGATGGACATGTGTGCCTACCAAATGGCTGAGCCATCGCTTAAAAGAGTGTGCAGATGGGGTAGGCCCCATGCTGGAGGCTGTGTGTGTGTGTGTGTGTGTGTGTGTGTGTGTGTGTGTGTGTGTGTGCATGCGCACATGTGTACTGGGTCTTGAATTCCCTTGGTTCTTTCACTCCAAGCTGATGCTCTACCACTTGAACCACAGCTCTACCTCTGGCTTTTTGCTGGTGAATTGGAGATAAGAGTCTCACCAACTTTCTTTCCTGGGCTGGCTTCAAAGTGTGATCTTCAGCTCTCAGCCCCCTGAGTGGCCCAGGCTGGATTTGAGCCTAGCACACACCCTAGGGCAGTCCCTTGGTGACACTTGTTCTAAGAAGAGAGGACAGGAAGGGGCCTGACTGGGGCTGACCCTTGGGGGGGAGTCTCCCCTCTCCCAAGGGAGGCTTGGGCCGGAATGCTAAGTGCAAAGGTCCTGAGGTAGGTGAGTGTCCACTTAGGAGCCCCACCAATCTTGAGGGAGCAGTGCGGCAGGAGGCAGCTGGTGAGCAGGAGCCCTCTCCCGAGAGCTTTGTGGTGGCTGCCGCTCCTTGGCTTTTGTGTTCTCTGAGATGGGATTCAGGACAACAGCGCAGAGACATGGGAGCAGGACACGGGACAGAGAATGTGTGTGTATGTGTGATCTTGACAAAACAAGATGGTGGCAGAGGCTGGGAAAGGCCGGGACCGAGGTAGCTGAGCAGGTCCCCCCCCCCAGTGGACAGTTGCCAGGGCTCTACCTGGCTGTGGGCCTGAGTTGCTGGATGATCAGATCTGCTATGGGGACATGCTAAGAATCCAAAAGGCAGAGGGGCCATCAGGGAAGGCTTCCTGGAGGAGGGACCCTGGAGCTGAACCTTAAAGCCAGCCTGGGGTTGGGGGAGGATGGAGGGAGCTGGGCAGAGCACCCAGGATGGGGGAAACTGGTGGGCCAGGACTCAGCACAATCGTGGGTGCCTTAGGGTGGGGGGCGGGTCTGCGTGTGAAGGCTGGAGGCCCCCTCCCCCCAGCACCAGGCTCGGGTTGCTACCACCTCGGGGATAGCAGCGGGGGGCCCCCCCTCAACAGGGCCCTCCTTCAGCCACCTCTGGGGCTCCAGGCCTGGCCCCGCCCCCGGGGCTGAGCAGGGCGGGGCCGCAGCCCAGTGGTGGCCCAGGCGGGACTGGCGGTGGCAGGAGGAGGGAGCAGGTGGAGGCCGCAGACAGACAGCGGCGGGACTCAGCCTCCACGCAGGAGCCCCAGCGCTTCTGGGGCAGCTTCTGCCCTTGGTGCCCGGCCCTCATGCCTGCCAGGCTTTGGGTTCTGCCAGGATCCCCTGCCCTGGGCTGGCCAGTGGCACTAGGGGGCTGATGCCGGGCCGGCCGCTCCGGAGTCTGGTGGGAGCGCTCCTCGCCCTCCTGTGCATGGGGCTGGTGTCCCTGTCCTACCGCTCCGGCCTGTACCCCCAGGGGGTGCAGGAGACCTGTAGGCCCAGCCAGACGCCCCCCGGGCCCCGGGAGCTGAAGCTGCAGGACGTCTTCATCGGGGTCAAGACCACCGGTGCCTTCCACCGCTCCCGCCTGGACCTGCTGCTGGACACGTGGGTCTCCAGGGCCCGGCCACAGGTGAGGCCACAAGAGACTGGGGGTGGCGGGCTGATGGAGGTGCTCTGGCAGGTGGCGGGCTTAGGCGGGGCTGCTGGGGAGCGGGGCTTCCTTCCAGGCGCCTGGCAGCCCCTGCCAGCTGCGGCGGGGTGGGGCGAGCCAGGGTTTCCTGTGGCGGCTTCCTGGGGAGCGGGTGAGCACCCTGGGGTGGGGAGAGTGGCGGGGGCAGAGGGCGGGCAGGAGGCTGAGGTCAGGTGTGTGTATCAGGATGACAGGTGGCATGGGGTGACCTGGGCGCCTGGCTCCCGCCTCCCAAGGAAGCAGGCTCCTGCACACCCCGCCCTGCAGTGGTCCCAGGGATCCTGTTCCAGCACAGCCAGCGACCTGGGGGCGCTGGACTTGCACACACATGCCCACGCGCGCACATCCACACGCACGTGTGCACATACATCCTGTTCTCCCTGGCTGCTGGCTCTGTAGGAGGAAGTGACAGTCCTTGGAGGGGATGCCCAGGAGCAGGGAGCAGGGAGGTCCAGCAGAGGCCAGGGTCTCCTGGGGGGGGGTGGCACCCTGCTTGGATTTCCTGGCTCTGAGCCCCCTCCCCATGAGCCTTTTCCCAGCAGCCCCATCTCCCCCCAGGCCCTTGCTCTTCTGGGGGTGGAGGAGGGCACACCGCTTCACCTCTTAGGGAGACTCTGGTCCCTGCAGAAGCAGCCAAGGCTGGCCCTTCCCGCAGATCTTCCTGTTTCTGTGGGGGGACTGGCCTGTGTGTACCTCAAGCTTGGCTTCACCAGCTCTGAGGCTCTTTCCTGTCTTGTCTTGCTTACACGGGCAGCGCCTTGTCCCGGATGAGGAAACCGAGGCCAAAGGAGGAAGTGCCTGAGTAGTGTCACCCAGGAGCCCTGAGGAAGCAGAGTCCCACCAGGCAGCAGATCCCTTCCTTTTCCACCAAGGCTGAGGCCCAGGGAGGGACCCCCCTCCCCCCGCCCACCACTGTCTGGGCGTGAATGGACCCTGGACCCTTCAACCTGGGAGGCTTTACCTGGCAGCCATGACCCCTGTCTCCAGTCAGACAGCTAGGCCAGCCGCTTCTCCCCTGAAGGGGCTGTGCGTCAATCAAACAACTCCCCTCACTTAATCCTCCCAACCATCTTCATGGTGGGGGGTATCGATTTCCCATTTACAGGAGAAGAAATGGTGAGGTTAAGCTGAGGCCAGAAGTAAATTCACTAAGTTGGAGCCTAGAGCGAGCGATAGTCTTAAAATCTTGTCTTTGAAGTTGAAAGAAAGAAAAACAATCACGTGAGGCTCGGCTGGTGGCTCACGCCTGTCATCCTAGCTACTCAGGAGGCTGAGATCTGAGGATCACAATTTGAAGCCAGCCTGGGTTAGGAAAGCCCATGAGACTCTGATCTCCAATGAACCACCAAAAAGCCAGAAGCAGAGCTATGGCTCCAGCGGCAGAGTGCTAGCCTTGAGCACAAAAGCTAAGGGACAGTGCCCAGGTCCTGAGTTCAAGTCCCAGTACCAGCACAAAAAAAAAAAAGAAAAAAAAAGGCAGGGGGGAGTGGGGACCAGGAGCACCCCCTCTGGCCACCTCATCACTAGATGTATTTGTGTGATCTTGGGGTTGTCCCTCCCCTTTAGGCCTGTCCTATCTCCTTCGTGCACAGCACAAATGCTCTGGATGGGGCCTCAGCTGGTTAGCTCCTGCCTGGGTGCCCTGCTGGTTAAAGGTGGTGGGTAGCAGGTGGCCTTTGTCCCAGTGGAGGGGGGTGGGCTGGGAGGCAGTTTTGTGTGTTTTGAGCTTGTGGGACCTTTCTCTTCTTGCAGTCCCCTGGGGGGAGGGGGTGGGGCAGGGAGGGTGGCAGATGGTCCCCGACTACCCCCCTCCCCTGTCCCGGCAGGCTGCGGGCCCCTTTGTTTGCCGGCCTGTGAAGTTTTAACCATTGTCAAGGCTTTAAACAAATCAAATGCAGCCCCGGGCTGAGGGGCAGGCTTTGCCAGCTTCAGCGGCCATCAGCCGAAGCCACCAGCAGCTCCCGGGTCCCCTCCCATCCTGGGGCTCTGCTCATCACCCGGCTTCACCCACCCTGATTTATTCAAGCATATTAGTTCCCCAGCAAAGATTCCTGCAGCCTCGCCCA